TTTAATAGGTGTATCACCTGGTAACCTTGAGCATTATTAAATATATGGAGACTGAAAGACATGTAGAAGCAATGGAAAAGTCTGGCCAGACCGGGTAATTTGTTTTAGACCTATGGAGAAATCTATTAACCATTTCTTCTATAGACCAATTTGATTAGGAATTAGGACAAGCTGTTCTTTCATTACTTACCAAAACCATACTGCACTTTGTATCAATTATTTGGCTGTCTGCAGCACATAGATTAGAATAAAGGCCTTTCTTAGTGTTTGCAAATGTTGTGGATTGCTGATTAGTAATTAAAGTACTGAATGAAGAAAATTAGGCCCAAACTGAATGGGAATGAGAAAGTCTTAATTCTGTGATACAGATGTTAGACACAGATTGTCTTGAGCAGCCCATTCAACATAGCGACATTGTACATAACCATGGAGTGTTTGCCTCCCCTGGAAAACTCAGGCCGAATGCCTTGGAGATGGTTTCCGCTCCCATGCCTTGTGATGTAGCTGTATGGGTATTAATTTAGTGAAATATCCTGTCTGCCAGGTGTGGGAACTAGCTGATTTTATTGTAATACCAGATCATTACTTAATTCATATGCAACAGAGTGCAGCACATGGAAAGCATTATAAATCTATTTACAATGTGGCTGGTCTGATGATAACATTGTATTAAATTCCCAGGTGAGGCAATTTAAGCAATTGCTTTGCCATGTGCACTCCTTGGAAATTAAATTCTCATATACGCTTTGGTAATAACCCAACTTCATTGTTATGCTTATGCTAGTGGTGGGCCATAGAATCCTCCTGCTGGTTATGTATACCCTGTTTCACATGTAGACTCACACAGGAGACGGTGTCCCAGATCACAGTTCTTAATTAGTGTAAGCTAAGTTAATTTTCATTTTGTTTCTAGTTTAGCAGTGCCTGTCTAGAATATATTCAGTTCAGTTGGGAAATGTTAAGGCTTGGGTCAAGTAGATAGATTGTTATAAGCCAAATTGCCAGATAGAACTGAGCGAGGCTATCTGTTTGAACTTGGCTTAAAGGAAATTACCCACTCAGTATGCAAAAGTTCTGTTCATATACCAAGTGAAAACTGCTTGGAATCTGAAATTCTCACTTTCATAGCCAAAGACTCACTTTTGTCATCAGTTTAAAATACCCATGAAACTTAGTGCATCTAACTTCTTAAGGATAACAATCAGTTGTTTAACTTGTCATATTTTTTTTTTTAGTTCATCTATGGTGTGTAGATTTTTCCTTCCAATTGTGTGTAGTTCACCTAAGTGTATGTTACACAAACACAACTAAAAATGAGGAATGCTCTTGTATTTAACATTGTGTGTGTGTGTGTGTGTGTGTGTGTGTGTGTGTGTGTGTGGCAAATATTGTCAGCTGCGGCTTTTCCACCCTTATGGTACAGACCCCAAAATTGCAATAGATTACAAACTGCACAGAGCTTCTGTCTTCTCCAGAAGCCACACATAAAGCACCAGTAGTCAGTAGTAACTGACAACTAAGACTAAAAATGTTGACAATTTCTTGATTTGCCTGGTTAGCTTATGTATAGAAGTCATTAACTATTTATAAAATGCATTATGAATTGGGTTCCTTCAAACTGTAGCTGAGTGTGTGACATTTCCAGCTCAAATTCTCATGCTTGCATTTGGCTAAAGTACAGATTTTATACAGTTGATAATAAAGTAGAATTATTTCAGTTAGTTTATCAAGCTACAGGAGATGTTTCAGTTTCATTAACTTTGAATCTTCCAAATTAAAGTATAACATAGTAGTTAGTAAGGTAGAGTGCGGTTTTTAAAAGTTCCATAAAAGTGAAATAATTTATTGATTTTTTTTTTTGAGGAAAAATATCCATAAAATAAGCAGTTTGTCACCCAGAGGACTTTACCTTTTTTTTTTTTTTTCTTTTGGTATTCATTTAGTTTAATGATGATCCTGCAAACTAAATTATGGCTGATTACAATCAGCTCACTTAAAATTTTAAACCATGAAAAATTAGAAAATACCAGTGCCTGGCATTAAAATATAATTTTTTTATCTTTATTGTTGAGAGTATTACAGATGTCTTTCCGTCTTCCCCCCATGGCCTCTCTCCACCTGGTTCCTGCCCCCATAATTCTGAATCAAACCAGGTCTTGATTTTTTTTTAAAAAAAAGTATAAAATGATACTCAAGTGTAAAGTGTTCCGTTTCCAGCATTGGTTGTATCATTTTCATGAGGAACTATTTCTGACATTTGAAATGAGTTACCTTTTCATTCTCTAGTGAAAGCCAGTCCTGTCAGGGAACATTTTGTAAACTCAGCGCATCATTTGCTTAATTACATCCAGAAAGCCATCCAAATGACCAGGGTCTACCATCCCAGTGGTGAAGAATGGCATCCATAGGGGGACCACCCTTCAACTGTGGATAAATCCTTCTCCCCTTGGTGCTGAGCATGTACACTCTTAATGGCTGCTTTTCAAAAGCAATGGATTCTAACCAAAACAAGATGAGATATTTAGGGATACATGCTTGTAATGTTCCACGTTTGAAGTATAGTAAATCAAAATAAAAATATAATGTAATTGAACAATCTATGCCAATTTGTTGGTATTTGGGTGAGAAAGGGGAAAAACAAAAACAATCTCCATGTGAAATTCTTGCATACTGGGGAACGTTTTAGTCCCCCATAGTGATGAAATGAATAATTAAAGAGGCAGCTCTGATACCACAGCCTGTTTAAAGGTTCTCATTTCCTTTAATGCTGTAAAATACTTTGGCTTAGCTAGTTTGAAACGACCATAGTGGGGATCTGCATATGGGCAAAAGAAAGGTTCGGCTTGATCTAATTACCGTGGTAAGGCCATGAAGTACTAGGATACTGTCCTTGTAACTTACATTTTTCTGTACAGTTCTGTATGAAGTTAATAGAAATAGCTAATTAATAGCAGCTTCTGTAAATACAGTATGGGAAGCAGGGTCCATGAATATGCTGTCTGTGGTGGTAAGAAGTCTGGCATGTTCACAAGTGAATGAGGGGGTCACTCCTGAATTGTTGAGATGTCTGATATAGATGCCATTACTGACCTCGGGCTAATGACTTAACTTTTCTCCCTCATCCTCTCTGCAGCATCATTGGTTGTAGTTCTCTACCTACAGACTGACTGCATTTGCCTGGGTATAAATAAGTTAGACATTTATATCAGGGAAGGCAAGCTTGGGGTAGAGACTCAGGGCAGAGATGGGATGCCATCATCTACTTTGTATTGAAACATTTTGCATTTTCTTTGCATCTTTTACCTGAGTGTATCCAGAGGGCAATAAACTGGTGAGGAAATTTTGTGTGATAGAATGAGCACCGAGCTGTAAGTCAGGACCCCAGGGTTCTAGTTTCAGTTTAACCAAAGCTACCTTTAGAACACCATGAGACTGGCTCCACCGCCGCCCCCCCGCCCCCCAAATAATAAAGGAGTATCTAGATTTATTTATTTATTTATTTATTTATTTATACTCCATTCAGCCCTTCATCTAGGTTCTGCCAGAGAGTTAAGCCCTAATGCCCTAAGGCTTCTGTTCTATGTAATAAATTTAATTCTCTCTTACGTATCATTTTTGGGAGAAGTCAGAAAAATAGTCACTGAAATAATTTTTTGTGTTTTATGGTTCAGATAACAACCACAGTTGAGAAAGGCTGCAACTTTAAAGTGATTTAAAGTCTACTGGTTTTTCTTGTCAAATATCCTTTTAAGTTCTACTGTGAGTTTATGTTTAAGATATTATGATCGCTATGTGGCAAAAGCAGGGTTACTCCCTAGTTTAGAAGTCTAATTAAAAATCTTGTGGACTTCTGCTCATGGACTATGGAGTGTCCTTTCAAACTGCAATAACTTTTTGGATCACAATTGGACAGGTGAGAAATTTTAAGTTCTCCACTGTAGACCTGAAGTGAGAAAAAAATTGCCATTTTCCAACTGCCGTTTTCCAATCAACTGTGCTTACTCAGTTCAGAAGCAGAAAAGGCAGCCAAGTTGCCCGTAAATCTGCATCTGGGCCTGAAGTAGCGATGCGCAGCAGCATCTGAGCACTGCACTCCAGCTTCCCAACTAATCTTCCGAGCCTTTAGCTTTTCCAAATGCGTGTAATTTAGAAGTTGCTTGCAGACATGTCCCTCTGACTTTACAGGTAAAGGTAGACTTCTTGTAAAACAGAATTTCTGTGTGTGAAACCTTGACTCGTGGCCCACTTGTCTTTATTTACTGGGGCTGGGAAAAGTTGACTCACAGCCTACTTGCTTTTATTTACAAGGATTGGGAAATTTTATTCGTTTTAACACACACACACACACACACACACACACACACAAACACTCACACTCCCATACTTTTCCTTAGTTACTTATAGAGGACTTAGAGACATTTAAATTATTGTCCCAAAATGGGTTGGACTTTTAAATTTCATCTCTTTTTAGTTAGTTAACATCACAATAATGAAATGATAGGTGAACAATTTCCCAAGCATTCCAGTGTATGTATGCAGTTATAATATTATCCTAGAATTAGAGATTTAAAAAGACTTGTAATTGTAAAATCCATTTTCTGCCACACTATTAAAGAACCCCATATACTCTCGTCTTTTTAATTGCAGCCTGGTGCGTTTTGCAGATATACAGCTATGTAGCTGTATTTCCTTCAGCTTAGTGTTCTTATTTGAATGACTGTGTGTGGAATAACATACCAGTTCCGATCCATTTTGATTATTAATGGAGTCCTTACACAGTGCAGTTTTCTTTCATTATTGGCATTTGAAAACCTTCTAATTTACATTAAACTTCTCAAGTTCAAGAACTTTACACAACTTTGGTTTGCAGGTTTTAGCAAATAGGTTTCCATTAGGGGGCTCTCGAGGTTTGAGATGATCAGCCTTGATACCAATAATGCTTCGAAGCCTTTACTTTCTAACGTTCCTCTCGCTCTCTCCCTTTTTGTTTTGTTTTACAGAAAAGGTCACGGATCGCCTACAGTGACGAAGTGCGCAATGAGCTCCTAGGGGATGACGGGAATTCCTCGGAGAGCCAGGTAGAATGCTAATCAGCAAGGCCCGGTGGGTGGCTGGAGGGTGAAGGAGGTCACTGGCACACTGGGCTCTCAAGCTGCTCCTTAACAGCATTAGCGGCAACTCATGTGGAAGTGATACTGTTTAATGCAAAGCTGGAGTCTTAATCAACTTCAAAATGTTTCTTGGAGATCTTACATTTAACCCTTTACCTTGGGATCACTGTCTGCTATCTTTTAAAAAAATCTTTTCTTCTCCTTTCTTTATTATTTAGTACTTAAGGAATAACTTGAAACACACTGTTTGCAGACAAAGCCAAGGTCTTCACCTCCAACACATGTAAAAGGAATAAAAAAGTACACAATGCAGCTTTGATAATAATGCAGTATAATTAAATCAACACTTGCAGCAAAACAAATGAAAGTAAGCCTTCAAAATTCAACAGGGCAGCCCAGTCTCCCATTGTGTCGATTCTTAAAAATACATTCAGTAAAATGCAAATTGTAAGTACCAGTGTGAAACTTGGATACGCATATAGAGGTAGTGGCCTCTGTGAAATAATACAATAGTAATAATAATGGGAAAAGTCGTTTTGCAATTTAAGATCTGCACAAGCAAAAAGTAAGGTACAATTTCTTCTTAAAAGGGCCTGTAACTTGGCTGTCAATTCTCATAGGGTTACACGGTAGTGTCCTGAGTCCAATTAATGTCCCACTTCTTTCTCTGAATTAATACTGCAGATTTCATTAATTCATATAGATAACGTATGACTTTTAAAAAGCGTTTCAAGAACCTCAGTGCTGAGATTGATTTTTTTTAAATGTCTCAAACAAACCTAGTGACTGATTGTCTTTGACACTTTTAAAGAAAATAAATGATAGGGAACTTCACAAGCAAGAACTGAGCATGTTTATTAACGTTACTTTGGCAAGTGTTATAAAGGTCTCTGCTCTGCCTAAATAAAAATGAACATAAATCATTCATTGAGTAAAACAAAATTTTAATAAGATTGTAAAACATAAATAATATATTGATACACATTGTAAAATTGCATACTTGTATTTACCATTTCACATAAATTATAGCTCTACATGTGCTGAAACTATGTTACTATTTACTGTAATATTAATACTATAAACAGGGGTGTTGCTTATGTGATTAAGGCCCCATCCATCCACCCCCAAAAAACAAGGATCACTGAGGTGATGGTTTGTTTTTGGAAAGACCTCACCCCCTCCCCTATTTGGATGTTATATCAGCTTGAGTTCAGACATGTAAACATTTTAATATTTGACTGGGGATTTCAGCTTTCCTGATTGAAATGTAAGAATAACTAAGGGGGAAAATTATACAGAGCACATCAAACAAAAAGGGTGATGTGATAAAGGGTTTTGCTCATAATAGATTAAATAATGTAAGAATGAGAAAGAAATATTTTCTTCCTATTTTAAGTGAGATTTAGGTTGCTCATACCTCTTGATTGAGTGAATCATAATTTTATTTCCTATCTTTACTGCAGAGAAAGCATTATCTTTTTTTACAAAAAAAGTGAATGCGTAGTTCTCATGTCAGTTCTTTAAAAAGCTATAGATCTTCCTCTCATTTGAAACTACTGCCTAACAGAGAGGAAATGGAAAGGAAGGGGTACCCTGTCTAACTCAGACTCCTTTATTGTAATGGATGTTGTAGTATATGTCAGGGATCCCTCTCTTTTTTTTAAAGGCATGTTCACTTCTCTTAATGGACATTTTATGTGCCTAAAACATTTGTCTTACGTGCATATGGGTATGATTTTTTATGCCTAAAGAAAAATATTCCACAAAAATAGATTGAGTTCATATTTTCTGAATTTTGCAAATTATATTCCTGTCACTTTAAAATGATTACACAGAGATTTTCCCATGGACTTATATAAATCAAACTTACACATTCTGAAAGTGCTCGGAGAACCTGAAGTTTAGTCATAAGGACCTGTCACTTCCATAAATAGAGTATGATAAATTATAGTCATGGGTATGTAACGGTTAGATTATTACTTATGTGAACTTTTCCATCTAAAATTTGAATTAGGTTTGAAAGTTCAAAGAGACCACACTTAACTTTTTGGATATTTAGTTACCAGGTATAGAAAAATTTCCATATCATACTGAAGAAATTAAATTTTGTTTTAGGTTCTCTTATCATAATATAGGAATTAAAATCCCTCCAACTAAAACATCCATAACAGGAATGCTCACTTGAGAATAACTCTTTATTCCGCATCTGTATTCATTCAGACGATGGAATTAAAACAGAAGCCTTTTCCTTACAGGAAGAAAGGATTTTAAGTTGGCTCTTCATGTTAGTGTTTGTAGCTGAGTGGCAGAGAAGGTAGTCTTTTCTGGGCTTATCTGTCACTTATATAAGAAAATATTTTCTGCCCACAAATAAGTTTATATTCCAGTTAATTTTTGGAACATTTCTTTTTTCAGAACTTATTGGCCTATCATAAACTTTCAATGTACAGAGAAAACTTGGAAGTAAACAAAATGAGACAAAAATAGCAATATTTGTTTCATTGAAATTGGGATATATCTCAATTTTTTAATTATAGATGAGAAATAATAAAGAACTCATAGCAATGGTTAAAATAGGTAAAATAATCTAAGTACTGACTGTTTAGTTATTTTTTATGCAGTATACATATCATCCCTATTGTGACTTTTTGGTGGTGATTTACAAAAATGTGAATGCCATAGCTATTATTTCTCATTCTGGCCATTTATAATGGTTTTTTTTCTTAGGCATTTAAAACCTGGTTGTTTATACACATAAATATAGTCTTCCAATTAACTATAGAGTATATTAATTTCCATATATATATATATATATATATATATATATATATATCTCAACATTTCCACCATGATTGGAAATGCCCCGCATATAGTACACAATTTCATTTAATTCCAAATTAATTGCTTTGTATAAATTTATTTCTGATTCTATCTATTTCTTATATATCCAAATATAGTTCATCCCTGATTTACAAAGATGGGACAAAATTACCTACTTTGCACATTTGAGTACTATTGTTGGGTCATCAGCTTTCCAAGGATTGCTGTCTTAGGCATTATCATTCTGTTCTTTTAAAATGTCATGTTTCCCATACAGCCACATTTTAGAACTTGAGAGAATTGAGTTTTTTAAATACAACAATGTTGTATTTAGCGTGGAAACCTTAATAGTTATCTTGATTTAGTTTAATAAAAACCATCCTCAGAAAAGGAAAAAACATACACAGAGAAACAAAAACCATCTTATACAATTAAATCCTCTTCATAGTAAAGTGTCCTAATGGAGCATATAAATTGTTCCGAGCAAATAAAATGTTCCAAGCAATACTTTGAACCCTAATCGTCTCTCAGTTTCCTTATGCAAAATTATATCGATCAATGAATAAGCCTGAGTAAATGAAATGTGAGTAAATCCTAAATAGAAGGTTCAAAGAAAGATCTATAAAGAGTAGGATATTTGCAAACGTGCCAGAAGTTGGGTGGTAAAGCAATAGTTAGTAGATAGGATTGCTTAATTTTTTAATACGAGGTTCTCGTAAGTTCCGATTTGAGCTTGCTGTGCATAAAGTGTGTCAAACTCCAGCCCCAGAGCAGGGGGTGAAGTCGGTCAATTTAATTCCCCGAGATCTAAAGGAGGTCGGTATCATTTCATACAGCCCTGGCAGAGCAGATCATTACCAGGCACAAATCTGTTCGTTACGTGCTGAGGGTTTATAGCCAAATAAATAGACTGTCATCATAAGTTCAGAAAATTGTGTGTTCGACCCACGATAATGTGTAAAGGGCGTTTAATAGAGTTCAGCATTTATTCGTTATCTGTATGCGGACAGAGACGCCAGTCGCGTTATCAGCTTTTTTAAAAAAATTGGGGAGTTGCGGGGTCACGTGGCGCGGCGCCCACTCGGAGGCGCGCATGGGCCGCACACGCTCCGCAGCGCAGGTTTGATTTCAGTCGCAGGCAGCAGAAGGCTTACCCACAAGAGATTCCACTGGTTCAAACCAGCGTAAACCAGATTTTGTTTTCAGCCCACAAAGGAACAGATTACCTCTTGTATCAAATTCTGCATTGAGGGAGGGAAAAAACACGTCTTTGTTTCAAAAAAAAAAAAAAAAAAAAAAGATGTTGATTATCATAACTCAACGTGGTGGCATGGTACACTTTCATGTGGCCTCTGATGGAGCTGGTAACGCGATAAAATAAGAAATCACTCCTTCCAGTCTAGTCTAAGCATTGTTAATTTTCAAATATAGCCCATCTTTTGTTTACTTGAATGAAAACTCTCAGCCCTTAAAAAAAAAAAAAATAGAGATTAAAACCCCTCCCCTTACCTAGCTTAGCTACAAATCCGGTGCAGAGCCTGCACGCAGCCATGCAGCACAAACAAGATAGAACGGGTTTTTGTTTGGAACCTATTGAAACAACAAATGGGGAGCATTTGAAACACTCATTGATTATGGCAGGGTGGCATGCCCCAAATGGTCTCCATTGCTGAGGAGTAGTTTTAAACTTTGGCCCTTTAAGTATCATAGTCAAGTGATGAATGGTGCCCCCAGAAAGAAAAGATAGCTGTGCGATCAATTCCCAGATCGTCTCTTCCTGAGAATTAATGTTTGCCTTTTTCTCCCATGATGTTCGGAGAGCAAAGAGAAAGATTCCGATATATGATAGGCCAGGTATTTGAGTTTCAAATGTTACCTCTTCCGGGCAAGAATAGTAACTTTCCACATAAAATGATGAGGGCCTTTACTCATACCCATCGGATGTTTGCTGAGAGAGTGAGCAAGCTTATTAATTAAAACTAATGGCAACTTCTTGTATATTTTGAAAAGATGACATTAAAAGTTTCATTTTCACTAAATGCACTGTGAGACATTATGTAATAAATTCTGTACCCATTTTATAAGAGTTTCATAACAATTCTGAAAACTCATTCTTTTGTACTTGAAATACTTTTCATATAACAAATGAAATATCAGCATAGGCTGGAATGTATGCTGCCTTCTTTGAATTGGAGACAAAAACAGCATTAAGCGTTGAGAAATCCGGGCTATAGTAAACATGATACTTTTAGAGACACTTATAGTGAGCAATTCATAGCACGTTTCTCCCAAAGCAATAGTTTAATTTATTGGCCTGCATATGTCAAGTGTTACAACAGATGTTACAGATATTTGGATGTTTAAAAATATCAGTTGTGGCCCTGAATTGCTGAGGATGCACATTTCAGACTTAGAATGTGGTTTATGGTCTCTTACAACACAGGTTTCAGTTTCTGTTCATTGCAGAAGCTATGGCATTCATCTCAACCATACAATGACATTTGTGTTGTATAATACTGTCAAACATACACACCTACACACACAAAGAATGAGTCAGACATTGTATATCCATTTTCTAGTATCTAAAGAGTTAAGCAACTTATTTTATTGTTATATTTAAGACAAATAGAAAAATGTTCTACAAAGGAGAATTAAAATGTTACAGGACAATTTACTAACAAGTAGAGAGTGGCTTGGGGTCTGTCTTTAGTGAAAACAGATTGCAGTACAAATGAAGTCAGAGAGCTCATTGCTTTGAGATAGCCCATTTTACAAAATGAAAAAGATTGAAAAATAAAGAAACATCAAAAAAACATTTTGAAACGCCATGTGACTGCAGTAGCCTCTGAAACAAAACAAACACCTAGAAATTAGCTCTAATCTACACACTATTTTTAAGGATAGTGAAATATTTTCTGATACCATATCCTAAATATTATCTATCCTAGCATGCTTTATTCTCAGTTAAATAATGTCATCTCCTAATGCAATCTTTTTACTAGGGTAGGTACAGGTATGATATTAACTAACATGATAGTTTGTTTTAAATACTTATTGGGACAAAAGCATTAACTATTAATCATTTTCATTTGTGGAAAATCGGAAATCAGTTGTCAAGATTGAAAATCAAGAAACATCCTGAAAACTTGTATATACAAAACCTTTTCAGTGGTACATTCTTAGAAGAGAGGAACAGTAAACTTGTTTTCTTTCTTTATAATATAGACTTCTATGAAGTCGTTCCCCTTTATTTCATGATGGTGTCTTAGATGTACTTTAAAAGAGAATTTCACACTATTCTCTTTGTTGAATGTGACAGTGTGAGAAAGTGATCTTTATTCGTTCAAAAAACTCTGCATGTAGTCTATGTTTAGGTTCTTTTAATGTGTTTGTCTGTGATTTTTAAATGCTAAACATGTAAACAGATAAATTGTCAATGTTAATTCTGTATCCTGTCACACAACTGATCTTTCTTTCCTGCCATTTCTTTCCTTTTTATCTTATTTTTGTGCATTCATGTTGCAGTTGATAAAATTACGTGAAGAGGTGAGTACTTCTTAGCTTGCTTTTTTTTTTTTTTTTTAAATTCTGCTTTTCCTTATAAAATTGAGTTTCTAAATCTGGAGTAAGATCTTTGGGCTCATTTTTCTAGGAAAATCCGCACATAGCAAAAGTATTGATTATATTGCTAGACATATTCTCTGCTGATTATCTTTCAAAAACAAATCTATCCAAATTATGCTTGTCTCAGTGATCATTGTGGTTTGTTAGCATCGGGGGGGGGGGGGATTCATATTTTAAAAGCCAAAAATGGAGGAAAAACAAAGGAATATCTTAAAGCTATGCTCAAGTATCGTTTTAATATAGACCAACTTCAGATTTGTTTTATTTGTATTGGTTTCATAAAGAAGTCAATATGATTCATTTTTTTTCTGATTTACTGTACTGAAAACTTTTTTTTACATAAACTTCTTCGCTTCACCCAAAATTCAACCTATGATACCATGAATCTATTATCCTTTTGGGGAAACACAGATATGTTATAAATGCACTACTAGTCTGTGTACACGGATACCCAAGAAGAGCCAAAGCTCTCGTCACTGTGAAACACATTCCTTTCTGCAGGAAATAGCACCCAAGTGAGCTCTCACTTTCCTGAGTTTGCTGGCCTGTTTCATAGTGCAGCCTAAGACTTTTGTGTGGCCCAGCACATATTTACAGCAATGCTTACAATTTTCTCCCCATGTCAGTGAGGAATGCTGAATGATTCTATATTTCTTTTTAATTAGAAAGCTCATCAACTATGCTTTGATACTCATTTCAGAGACAGTAGTTTTATTCTTTATTGAATGAGGTTGAGTTGTTACTTTTTTATTAGAGCATAAAATAATGGCCCATATTGCAATTTTAAAATTGTTCAGTTGCTTATGATCCTAAGAGTACTGTGAATTATTTCTGAGTTTAGATTGCATTGACTCAGATTTTCCTAGAAGTTTTTTATTGCTACGCCATCATTCTCGAGGTGATGCGAGTGCTAGTGTAGAGGCTTGTAGATAGTGGTTTTCAACAATTCTTATGATTGAAGATACATGAGTGATGTCTTCTCTTAGTAAAAGTAATAATGACATATAAAATGGAGGGTGAAAATACACAAAACCCGCACCCTCTAACCTTTTTGCATTTTTTTTATCTTTCCTACATTGAAGATGTGTATACACTGAACAAATATAATCAATTGCAGTTCTGACATATAGATTATTCCTTAAGGGAATGATGCATCCATGTTATTTCTTTTGCAAGACAGAATATCTACTTGTGTATATTTGCATATGTTCATGCTTAGGTGAAGAATCTGAATTCTCAAATGTTATTGGAACTAACAATTGACTTGAAAACCTCTGTATAAGGAAATTCATTACACGAAGCTCTGGCTCCTAAATTTAGCAATGAATATAATCAATAAAAGTGTGTGCCTTATCACAATTGGCATTTTTGACAGAAGGCTCTTTTTGCTGTTGTTGGTAAGCTGAATTGTGTGGACAGCAATCTTAATTCTAAAAGATGCTAACATCACCTCTGCATTTCTTTTAACATTTTGTGGTGCCTATCACAGCAGTTTCATCAGTTATGCACGTTGCCAAAACTGTAACCTGCAATGCAGTTGTACTTGGAAGAATGATATCACTCAACTAATGGAATAATATACTCTAAAAATGGTCTTTTAACAATCTTTGAAAAGGATGCAGCATTGATATTTATAGAACAGATCACAGTGATGTCAGTGCATTGGTGCATGGTTTCCTCAGAAGGAATTGTTTCTCAGCTAGGATTCTAATAGGAATCAAACTGAATGTACCCTACTTTTCTTTCTGGTACCAATCCTAAGAAAACAGGCACTCGTCTCCTCTGAAATAGGATGTTTTGTTGTGTTTGGAAGCAAAGTATGCCCCATCCCTTCCCCGTGATGATGCTCTTTCCGGCTCAGTTGTGGAAGCAGGGCACGCTCGGAGGCAGGCTGGGTGTGCACGGGAGCTGAGCTGGCTGTGGCTGTGCCTGGCGCTTCGTTTCAATCCTGCATCCCCAGCTCTCACATTGCACAGCTCCTCACACAAGTCGGGCTCTGTCTGAAGCTGCTGCACAGCATTACTTACCTGCTTTGAAAGGGCTGAGGAGAGGGTGAGAGAATGAGTTTGGGATGGAATGTGGGGGCAAGTTGAAAGCCTCAGCTGCTACTGTAGTGTTCGTCCTTTTATTTTCAGAGACCGGGGCAAAGCACAACTAAGGGAACAATGTAAATAGCACAGCTGTTACAAGAACTTGTTTTTAGCCTGACTTAAGCGAAGAGGTTCCAAAATACAAAGTGAGGTCCTGGGGAAAAGCTGCTGGGAACTGGATAGTCCTGTGTGCACATTTACTCCGATAGAACCGCACTGGCCGGAAGAGGAGTTATTTCTGTTATTTAGGAATATTCTCCTTTAAAAAACAGAAGTTCGTTTAGAAATTTACTTCCCATCATAGCCATACTCAGAATAGTCTGATTTGGTTCCTTTTCATGGAGTCCCAAAAATCATTCCACATTTGAATGCTTTGTTTCCTACATTATATGTAATCATCTAATGAGACTGTCAATTTCCAGTATTGATCTTGGACTTTTTAACAATCTACAGTAGCTAAATGTTTTCTTTCAATTTAGGGATTTCATCCAATCTGTAAATGAACTAAAAATCTTTGTTTTGTTACTCTGGATTAAAATTCAGATTACTCTTGATTTCACAAATCTGATCCCTTTTTAAAGAATCACCAGTTTGAAATGAAGTCCTTTGTTAAGGTAGAAAACAATATTCAGAGAAGGGAAGAGTAATGCTATTCCCCCAAAACCTGCGTGTAGTGATAATCAAGAGAAAGCTATTTCGACAACACGAGTAAAATGTTTAATTTTCTTTAAAAATGGTCATTAATGCCAAACACACAGCCCCCCTGGCTTTTTTTTTCTCAATTACAGACTTCAGTGATTTTGCATTTCCAGGATATAAGCTTTCCTTCCTTCCTCCCTTTTATTTATTTAGTTTAGCTTCTTTTTTTTCCAGAGGGAGGAGAAGTTTTCTCTTAATTTCTCCACTATATATGAGATGACTTTATTAATTATTATAGACTGTTGTTGCCGCTTTCCTGACCTTCACATCAGGTCCTATCTCTCTGTTCTAAATGCATTGTTTTAATGATTCTTACCACCACCACCCCGCCCAGCCCTTCCCCCAAAAAAATTTCAAGGAAAGCTTTGATGTGGCTTTAGCTGCCTCCAACGTCTGGCCGCATCTCAGATGTGTCACCTATGCCGGGAGGGAATAAGGAAATCACGTTTTGAATGGTAATGATAACATACTAATCACTTCCTTTCTTTGAAGATGGAAGCGAGATATTCTGTCAGCATCCCTGGCTGCTAGAGCTTGGAGGCACTGGTCTAGGTGTATTAGCTTAAGTGTGCATGTCAATACAGCTTGCATCTCCAAGATCCATGGGGGCTCATTAGAGCAAGGTAGATCGTTTCACTCGACAGCCACTCAGATAATACGCATGGCACCTCCTTTTTTATTATTATTAGGAAGCTTTTCTTCTATTTTAAGTGACATCTGTCAACAACACAAAGTTGTAGGAGTTGTGCTTGCAATATTTCTCTTTTGACCAAATACCAAAACTGATCTGAGGGGTTAAGCTACTAATTGATACAAATACATGTATGCATATACACACACAAATAAGCACACACATATTTATATATTTCTAAGTATCAGACATACACGTATCTACACACACACACAAACACATTCACATATGCACTCACATATTCTTACCCATTCACAGTCATGATTACTTTACAAATCTGTTTGTCAACCTGAATAGATCTGGTATAGAATCATGGTTTTTCAAAGAACCCAACCTCATTGTAGAAAAGAAAGTTTAGAAGCTGAGAATCTGGGGAAGATCCTCTAATTGCCCAATTAAATATAATATAAAGGAGTGCATGTAATTATTATATTAGTTCATAGTCTAAAACACTGTGTCAAAAGCTTACCTTCAATCTAGTGTATAAAGTCACAATTTTGTGCATCTGTGTGCCTGGAGGAATATGTACCTCTTGTTTCTTGGTGGCTGTCTTAACTAGAACTGCTGTTTAGTATTCTGTTTTAGTAGCATATGTTGTCCTCTATGGTATCTTGACACACATCCAAAATAGAGGGACATTCCCTTAAAAATAAAGTTCCTGTTTTAAAATTACTGTCTGCAGAAATCAAAGGAACAAATGAGTGTTTTAAATGATTGTATTTTATACAAAATAAATGTAAAATAAGGGTCATGGACCTATGTAAATATCTCATACATCTACCTCTGCTGAAAGAGGAGAGAACCAGTTAGCCCTGGTCTTAACACATTTTTCAGTGTTTTGGAGTAAGATTTATAATAGCCACACACAGCTCGAGTCTGCCTTTTAAAACAAAAAACATGGATGGTCCATACACGATTGATGGATTGGAAATGTGTCCATTGTTGTGGTTCTTATAATGGAAGATTTGCTAAAAATTATCTCTGAGGGGTTTTGAATGCCCCCCTCCCTTCAAAATGTTAGGGCATACAAAAGCATCTTTTTTTTTTTTTTTTAAGGCAAAAAATAACATTGTAGACGGCCATCTGATTTCCCCCCTTTTTCTTTTTCAGAGGGCACATCTGCTCGATAACACAGAGAGGCTGGAAAGGTCATCTCGGAGACTAGAGGCTGGGTACCAAATAGCAGTGGAAACCGGTAAGAATTCTGAGAGTGAGCAAATTGTCTTGCTTATGCACAGCAGTCTTCACAACACATGACATTTCAGGGTAACTTCAAAGGAGCAGCGGAGACAGCAGCCCGAGATGTGGTTTACATATTGGGGAGACAATTGGGAGCTTATTTGTGCTTATCTTTTTTCAAGTTAAAAGGCATGACATCTACTGAAAACAGTTCCTGAGGTTTAAAAGTCTATATCTGAAAAGAGATGGAATACTTTGTCTAAATTCTACATTTGTCTTAATATGCAGTTACATGTTGTCAGTTTACCCACCCGCGATGATTGCTAGCACACGGTGCGGTCTCCAGTTGTTTGCTCTGTTACGTGTATTTCTCACATGTAAAAATTAACGTTTTAATCAGTCTAAATGCTGTGACCTAGGGGCGAAGAAGTAACCATCCCTCCTTTACCTTGCTTATTTATCCTGGTGTCGGAAGTGATTTCTAATAATCCTGTATTGTGTTGTTGTTTTTTTAAATCTTGGACAGAGCCTATAATCAGATATCAAGAAAAAAAAGTCACAGTTAGCAGCAGTGCTAATGTATATGATAATACTTTTGGTTTGGATTAACACTAGGTTTTCTTTTCAGAAAGCACAATCCTAATTTAACTTCTAAGACTCATCTACTTAAAATAGGCAAGCGTTTTTTATTATAAAGGTTTCATGCAATGACTATTTGTTTTTACAGAGTAAATCAATATTCATTAACCCCTTCGTGGTCATCAGCTTCTTACTGAGCTTTCTTTTTTTGTTTTGTTTTGCAAAGTATAGTTAATGTACCATCTGTTTAACAAATTTTAGATAGTCCTTGCCCAGTATGTACATCACAAAAATATACGATTAACATTTCCATCATATTTTACAATTTACTTCTCAAAAAATGTTTATTTTGGTAGAGCAGGTACAATAAAAATGATTCCAAATAATTTCTTTTGTGAATGGCCAGTGTTTCTCATTGCCCTGGGTTCATGGCCATTCTGCATTGACTGGCTTATGGGAGTAATTCTAAGAAACTGGGAAGGAAGAACACAGATGGTGTTGGTGTTATAGTCATGGTGAGAAAACTAAAGAAAACTGTAAACCTCCCCAGATTTTTTAGTAGTAGAAGAATCCTTCTTTGTGAGATAATTGATAGATTGCCTTTCAGTCCTGACTGGAATAAAAGCCAGCTTTTGTTTGTTTTGTCCTTGGGCTCACCTTTAGAAGTTACTGTCCTTGTGAAGAATGTGAATAAAGCAAAGAGCCCTGAGCATGAAGTCAAAGGATCAGGCTCAGGTTCTAGCTCTTTTTGTGTGACCTTGAGCCAATCATATAACCTCTCTGAGTCTCAGTGACTTTTGCAATAAAATGGACATAATATTGCCTGTCTTAGCATATTCCTAAGACATGATGGCATATATGAAAATGTTTTACACACTATAAAACACTATACAAATATAAAAATTATTATTAATGTGTTGGTCATTTGATAACATACAAGCATTTATCTTTCTCTGTCTCCTAGAAAAAAATTTTGTTGTGATGAAAAATTTGTATAGATTAAAGGAATTTTTTAAAAGTGTTACCTTGACATCCTTGGGGAATGTAACACCATGCCTATAGAGCATGCTCATCATCAAGGAACCTTCTTCAATGAAACAACCCATTGGCGAGCCTCTTCCCACCTGGGACTTGGCTGGATTGGGGATATTCTTACTGTGACACTGATCATAGGGCTTGATTTAAGGATTGGGCTGCCTTTTCTCTTTCACTACATCATCCATGTTGTTCCTCCTGAAGGAAGTCATCAAAGAAGTTCACAGATCCTGGAGAGCCGTGTATTGATCAAGGTTATAAGATTGAGTGGGATTTGATAGTTATTCTTTCTGCGTGTGCTAAAATATAGCATCCACATCAAACTATCGGTACAGTCAACATGGAAAATGTCAATTGAAGAGTGGCCCAAAAACCAACCTCAGTCTTCTTGGACTTTTTAATGGTGGATTAACTACCATTAACTACTAATGTTAGATTAACTATAAAGCTTTATACGATTAGGTAGTTGTTTGTCATATAAGGCTTGGGAACTTCTTACAGGCTATAAAACCAAGTCTGTGAGGAAAAGCAAGGCTAGGCTTTGTAGAGGTAAAGACAGCTTTGCCACTCACAGCCTCCACCTAGGAGTCATCCCGATAATTCCTGGGATGAGTTTGAACATGGATTGAGACATGAGAAAGCGAGCACAAAGCTTTTTTTTTTTTTTTTTTTTTTTTTTGGCTCTTGCTTCTTACTAAAGTAGTGTGTGTGTGTGTGTGTGTGTGTGTGTGTGTGTGTGTGTGTGGCGGGGGGAGTAAGTGTGATGGATACCCTGTTGCTTGTACATTTTGTGCTTCCCTGCTAGCTCTCAGCCTAGTCATGTCTAGTCAGTCAACAGCTCTGCCTTTGGGTTATGATATAAATTTTTGATACTAATCATTTTGTTATAGTAGCAGTAGAACAGCATTTTTCAAAAGGAAAAACTTTTAGAACTTACTGGTTTCTTTTTCTTAAAGACGATGAAATGCAAGGAGGGGGAGATGTGGAAGTATGACTTTTTTTTAAATATATACCAAGCCTTCTAGTTGGCACGCCTCCTCTCATCGTTACCTCAGGCCACCCTGCTCAGGTGTTCCATTTGGTCATTGATCTTACAACAGGGTGCCGTACCACTGCCAGCCTGTATTATTTCTGTATGTTTTCTTCTGGAAAACAAATAATTCTTAGAACTGTAGCATTTTCATGAGAACAAGATCATTTATGTATGCCACTGTTTTTCTTTCTCTTTGCCTATCTCTATAGGAAAAGCAATCGTTAGTGGTATCAACTTACATTTTAAAAATCAAACAAATGTGTTTCATGTTAGGAACTTTTTAAAGAATCAGAACAAATACATTTACAATGTGAGGTGACTTCCTTTATATCTTTACTTGTCTAAAAGTCTTGGCTGAACTACTGACAGAGTTTTCCTGAGCCTTTCAAGGGGCTATATGGAGATTATGGAGTATAAGAGAACAATACTGCAGCTTATCACATTCTCTCCTTTGGTTCTTGATACTGTCCTTCAAGTCACCTTATTACTATTATTATTTTAATCAACTCACTGTAGAACTCATTTAGAAATTTTAATCCGTCTTGGAAGTATCTTAAGACAAAGTTTTTTTTTATCAGACTTCAAGCCAGTCATTTTCTTTATCATTTCAGAAGTTTCTTCCATGGCTGCTGACATTTTCTTATCCTTCTACCTCTTCCTCATTATTTTAATTCTCTTCCTTTCTTCTCCTTTCTTTTTCCCTTCATCCCTTCATTCTCCTCTCAAGAAATATGAATGGTCACTATGTACAATGTAATAATTTGATTCCAAAGTACAACTCTTTGAACGTATTAATGTATCATCGACAGAAAAGATGAGTGGGTAAAACAGTGCACAAGAATAGAAACTAATGCATAAGTAAAACTATTGTTAGCACGTTTTTATTGATTCTAGGAAGACAGGAAGGGAGAGGAAGATAGACAGAAACATTGATGTGTGAGAGAAACATCAATCAGCTGCCTCCCGTATGTATGCAACCAGACTGGGGACTGAACCCACAACCTGGGCACATGCCCTGACTGGGAATCAAACTGGTGACCTTTCAGTGCACGGGACAACACACAACTAACTGAGCCACACTGGCCAGGGCTAGAACTGTTTTCAAAGCCATAAGTTTGCTTGGAACTGAGCTAACATCTCCTGGAAGAAATAGGAAAGAGCCTCTTTCATTTACTGATAAGTCACTTATAAGTTTCCTGGGAAAACAGACCCAAAAAGTATTAACTGTATGTGCCTTGCTCTTAAAGCTGTTATCAGTTGGTAGAAGAATAACTTTATGACTTTATAATATTAGTGGGAGTGGTAGACATTATATGAAAGAAGGCAAATGTTGTATTTCACTTATTCCACAAGCTTTTATTGAACTTCACTGAGTGTCAGGCACCTCAGCAATGCAAAGCTGGAATGACGAGATATTCCAGTCCTGCGGGTTCTGAGTACAGAATGTTGTGTCTATAGACACTTGAGATTTTTTAAAAATATGTTTTTATTGATTTCAGAGAGAAGAAGGGACAGGGAGAGAGAGATACAAACATCAATGATGAGAGAAAATCATTGATTAGCTGCCTCCTGCACTCCCTACACTGGGAATTGAGCCAGAAACCCAGGCATGCGCCCTGACTGGGAATCAAACCGGCGACCTCCTGGTTCATAGGTCAGTGCTCAACCACTGAGCCAAATCCGCTGGGGATAAACACTTGAGATTTTTAACTTAAGTAATTTTGTATAGGCACAGATTGAAATTTCAATATATGACATGTCCATATTATTGCAGCAGTAACAAATTAACATTTTGTTTTACAATATTGGAACAGAAAATGGGATTATACAATTGGGTTGATTTTAACTATTTTTATCTAAGCACCTCTATTTTAGAGAAAATATATTTCTACAGAAAATTAAACTTATTGACAGAAAAGTTTTCTTTAGAAAATGTTTCTTCATTCATTATTTTGAGTGGTGGACCGTGTGGTTATGCTTTCAGAATTAAAGATATTTCTGCTTGAATATGCATTTTTTAATGCTGAGAAGGATTACTTGACCACGTTCTGTGAGTTTTAAAAAGTCTACCCAGTGGTAAAATAATAATTTGTACTGTGTAATGATCACTTACTTTAGAATTAAAACCCTATTTAAAGTATCACATCTCAAAAAGCTGGGATTCTGCTCCGGAAAGAACAGAGGAGGTTGTCCTCTGGGTGAAACTCTTAAAGAATATTTTCAAGTTGCGCTTAAGTTTACTTTGTAAGGTTCTCTGAGATATTGGTGCACTTCCCAGTGGTAAGAAAAGGATGCCATTTAAGCCCTATTTTGAGGACCTTCTCCTTAGGAGGTCCACGTGACTGCATAGGGTTCATTTTTAATCCATT